CAAAATTCGAGCAGGTGTTCTGCTGAAATCCAAAGGAAATAGAGGTTTTGTTTTTGTTTTTGAGTGTAAAGGTGACAGTGTTTTTGTTTGCAGGCATTGCCCATAGAGACCTTAAGCTAGAAAACATACTCTGTGAATACACTGATCAGGTAATTGGCTTTTAATGAGTTGAGAAAGGCATTAATTATCCCTTAAGGTTTATAATTTAACAACATAATCATATATTTACTCTCTTTCTACTCAGGTGTCGCCAGTAAAGATCTGTGACTTTGATCTAGGAAGTGGAGTAAAGCTCAGCAGTGCCTGTACACCCATAACTACCCCAGAGCTCACAACACCAGTAAGTGTCTAATTCTAAATTGTTGGCCAAGTATAGACGCATAATATTGTCCAATTAACTAATAAGGGATTACACTGACTTGCCTCTTCTTTGCCCTCTCTCAGTGTGGCTCGGCAGAGTACATGGCTCCAGAAGTAGTTGAGGTGTTCACTGATGAGGCCTCCTTCTACGACAAACGCTGTGATCTGTGGAGCCTCGGGGTCATCCTCTACATCTTACTGAGTGGCAGCCCACCCTTCACAGGACACTGTGGCTCTGACTGTGGCTGGGATCGGGGAGAAAGATGCAGAACATGCCAGGTATGCCCCCCTCCAATCAGCACTGTTGTTTAGCGTGCATCCCATGGATAATTGCTCAGCTCAGCAGTGTTTGCACCACAGAGATTCACTGCGTGTCCCCGCTTATCATTCTGAAATGAAGACATTATAAATAATATAAAACTACAGACTAGAGGTGTTAAAAGAACAAAAACAAAACTAATAGTAATTTTGTAGTTTGTCTCCTTTAGCTGACATTACAGCTTGTTCATCTTAATGTTGGCCTCTTTGATTATCATGTCCATGGTAGACAGTTCAAATAAAATAACTAAACTTTTCTTTTTTTGCTGTATACTGGCTTAATTAAGAAACATAATTAGTAATGTAGGTTAAGTTAGGCTTAGATGTGGGTTGAAATCTCTTTTTAAAAATAAAAAAATGAGAAAAGCAGATGCATAGGAGGAGTACGGCTGATTTGGCTTTAGCTGTTGACCCATATGTCAAATGTTCTTATGTGAATTATTCAGAAAAGCCAAACACTTTCAGTACAGTTTGGGGTATTTTTTTTTAAGTAGTAGAGTATTCGGGCTGAGAAGAAATGGGAAGAGGTTCTGTAGATTTACCAGGGAAAACCTTGTTTTAGCTTTCACTTCATCTAGATGATGTCGTCGGTTCTTCTTCTATTATCTTGGCTTGAGCGGAGTTTTGGTTTGGTTTATTGAATTTTGTGCTGCGTGGAGGAAAAGCTCACTTCTGTAAAGAAGATGTGAGGTCTGAAGTTATAATGCACAACAGAATGACAACACCATTACAAAAACAAAACAAATAGCATGTACTTATCAGCAGGTGATGTTATTTGATCTTCTGCCCTCAGAGTCACCTGTTTGAGAGCATCCAGCAGGGCAAATATGAATTTCCAGACAAGGACTGGGCCCACATCACGGTGGGCGCCAAGGACCTCATATCAAAGCTGTTGGTTCGGGACGCCACTCTGCGCCTCAGTGCTGCTCAGGTCCTCAAGCACCCTTGGGTGCAGGGGGTGGGTATAATTACATTTGAGCACTACTTGTCTAATTTTAGACAGCTGGAATTATTGTCCTTATTTTCAAGCTGTGAGTAATTTTTTTTTTCTTTCTTTTCTTTCTTTCTTTTTTTACAGAATGCTCCAGAGAGAGGTCTTCCAACTCCTCGTGTTCTGCAGAGGTTTGTCTTTATTTTAGCTGTTTCTGTGGTCGAAGTAGAATCAGACCTTTAGTGTTTGTGTTGTTTCATAGGAAACTAGAGTTTCTGCACATTTGTTTATGAACAATTTAAGGTTCTCTCTGCTTCAAGATGGGTTTTTTTAGATGGAAAATATTGGGATAGATGAAACAAGGATATCTAGGATACTTTATTCTAATCACATTATTAAAGTGAGAAGTGGCACAAGTGTGCTTAGATGTGTCTCATATCTTTTTCTTTCTTGTTCTAGGAACAGCAGCACCAAAGATCTGACCCAGTTTGCAGCAGAAGCCATCGCCTTCAACCGGCAGCTATCCCAGCACGAGGAGCAGCGGGAGGACGTCGGAGCCATTGTTTGCTCCATGAGGCTTTCTCCTCCTTCTAACTCCAGGCTGGCTCGCAGACGGGCACAGTCCAGTGCTCTCCGGCACGGAGACTTTGCACCCACTTCAGATGACGCCACAGCCTGAGGGTCCTTAACCTCCTCATCATGTTATCTGAATAATTTTAGTTCCCTTCTGTGTGGATGGAAAGTGTCTCTGTTGTTGAACGTCCTCTCCTTGGCCAGTAGTCTTATCAGTGAGAGTTTGAACATCAAGTGCGCAGTTAAACCTCAGCTTCTGCCTACTAATAGAAAACAGTAAAACTTCCAGGATTTGTCCAGGAGTTACTTTAAGCTGATGAGTATTTTTAACAAAGGTTTGATTTTCTTTCAGAACAACTTTGGCTTTAAGTATAAATGTATGTATTGTCTTCACAGGTTGGGTTAGTCATCGTTGCCCAAAAATCCAGAAACTGCTCTCAGTGCCAGCAGTTTTTACTAAAATACATATCATCACCAAAAACAGCATTTTAAGAATCAGGACAGCTGCACAGCAGCAGCAGCTGCTTTAATGCAATATCGTCTTATAGGTAGATTTTATTATTTTTTTACTTTTCTTGTTTTTCCAGCTGTGAATTTATTTTATTTGAAAGCTTTTTAGTGACTAAAGAAAAGGGATTTTTTTGTTGCTTTTTAAAAGCATGTTTTCTTTTCTTTTTTATATGATTTTTATGTGTGAATGTATGTGATTTAAGTGATATAACAGACAACACTTAGAGGAGTCTGCGGGTTAAACTGGGCCTTTCCCCTGTTTTACCTGTTGACTCTTTTGTCGAGCTGTGTCTCCATGACTACCTGAGAGTGTGGCTGGAGGTTGCAGAAACTCATGGAGTGAGACTGGATGTTAAAGTTGTTTTTTTTTTTCCCTGATGTCGATACAAGCTACCTGCAGCACTGATGTACTTTAAAATAAATATCTTATTTAGTTTGCCCAGAATGGGAGGTTCTTGTGTTTTTAAAGCTTCACCAATGAATTTGACACTTAATAATAGTATTTATTCCAATGTGCTTTTGCTATAACTTCTCGTTGGAGGTCATGTTTGGTGTTGTGAGGCAGATTATTCCAAGAGGTTTTGCTTAATTTCCTATTGTCTTAGTGATCTTATATATATATTTTTAAGTCTAAATTACTTGAAATGTGAAAATTGCATTTGTTTTAAGTTTTATGCAGTTCATGAGACTAAAAGCTGAATTGTGGGACTTTTCTATATAATGTTAATGTGTGCACACAAAGATTATTCACCCTATGAGCAGCAGTATGGTCTCTGTATTTTGTAGTGTTCCTGATTCCTGGGCTGGCACGCTGGCTTAGATCAACCAGCAGTGACTGGGTTTGCCCGTCCTCAAGAGAGCTGCAGCCAAAGCAAATGGTGTGGCTTAAAAAAGTAGAAAGGGACTGAGAGAGATGGTTTGCTGCTTCAGATAAGTCACTGGGAGGGAAAGCGGTTGATAGCGAGTAGAAGCGTTTAGCGGTGGATAAGCCTTTCCTTGTTCTAGATTTGCATCACAAGCACTTGTTGATGGTATCTGTGTAATCTACCTGTTACGAGCCCTGCATGGCTGGTTTAAAGGGATTAGAGAATAGTTTGTTACACTAGTGAGATACGTGATTCTATTCTGTGAAGTGAGTTTATAAAACTGTTAAAAAATATTTTTTTAATTGTCCCTGTGTTTTGATTTTGTGTCTGTGCCAATGGAAACTGTTCTGGATGAACTGAGAATTCTTTCTGATTTTTTTCTTTTGTTTTTAGAAGAAGCTACTTTTTCTTTGTTGTCTTATAATTTAGACTGTCTGTGTTTGAATGGGATCTCCGAAGGCTCCTGTTTACCGTACCTTACAAAGTTTATGTGCCAGTGCTAACTCATCCCCTTATTTCACACTGTTGTCATGGACAACCCATCCCTATAGCAACTAAGGGCCTTCATAGGCTGGCATGAATTGATGGAGATTTGCTCAGAATGAATACACATGTTAGGAAACGACTGCTTGCTATGTTGAAGCCCCCACACTCGTATGAATCATAAAAGAAGCTGTTTGTTTCCCTCCGTCTGCTTGAGATGGCCTAGAATGAGATGCAGTAATTGGTTTGTGATTATAGAGTCGCTCTGAAATGTGTCAAAGCTCATATGGGGTCCTATGCATAAAGCTCTCATGTGTGGAGCGTATTTTCACTGGCATGTTGTGTTCTCAATAAAAAGCTCTTGTCTAAGCTGTGTTACATCAAGACAATATTACTGTGTTGTGCACTCAAAGGTCTCGTTCACGAGACGCGAGCAAATGGATTTTTGTTTCCACTGCAGCAGATGTGCTTTAGTTTACAAAGATTTATTTCAGTCAGGAGTGATAAATGGTAGCAACTCATTGTTTTGGACTGAACAGATGAGGAGATGGTGAATAACCTCTACGCACACCGGTAAGAAACAGATGCTGTGTCCTTGCTAAGACTTCTTTGAAAAGCAAAGGAGAAAGAGGAGCGAGGCCATAATCTTGAGCCTTTTTTCTTTTTTACACTTTAATATCCCAGGTTTCACAAACTTTTCCCATTCTTAGATTTCAGGAAATAAACATCAGATAGATGTCGGAGTGCAGCGGTGTTTCCACTTTTCCCGAGAGCACCTTGAATGTGACACGTTAGAAGCTTAAGCACTTCGGAGGGTAATGGCTGTGATTGGGCTGTTTGTTTGAAGCAGCTCCACAGCGCAGCCTGTGGCCGATATTCAGCAGTGCATCCGCTGCAGATCACTCCGCTGTTCACCTGCAGGAGGAGCAGATCACACCCGCGGCTGCTGTGCAACATGACGGACGGACAAAGCGCCCGAACGGCCAGAGTCATGTGTCCGATGTAAGGTAAGCGACACAGAAGGGTGCAGAACAATTGTGCAGCAAGTGTTGCTTTCAGGTTTGTGTGTGTCTGTGGACCATCGGCGAGAGAACAAGACTGTTTTTATATTTGCAGATTCTCACTTGGCTTTATCAGCGTTGTTTGCTTCCATGAATTGTATTCGCGCTTTAATGTTGTTGAGGTTTAAAGTCTCGTAACTAACGCGTTTAACTAGACGGGGATGCTTACAGTTTTTTAACAGCTAAGAAATTACTTTGGAAGAAAAAAAGTTGCCAGAGTTCAAAATCAGAAGAATGAAAAGTCTTTAAAACGTTTGCACTGCTTCTAAAATGTGTCGTTACTTTTCAGCCTCTCTTTCTAAAGAGATCAAATGATCTATTTTCAGCCGTTTGTCTGATCAACAGCTTCTCCGAGCTCTGCTGAGACATGGTGCTACCTGAAAAAAACTCCAGTTCATCTGCTCTCAAGAAGACCCCTGAGCAGCATGCTCCGAGGCACCAGAGCATGCCCTCTCCAGCCCTGTGCTGCGCCTGTGGGCTGTGCATCATGCTGGCTGGCATCAACATCACCCTGGTGGGAGCGTTTGCATTTGGTACCTTCATCCCTACAAGCAATCCTCCCATCTTCATTGGGCCTCTTCTTCTACTCATAGCGCTGGCTTTCTTTACAGCCTGCTGCGTCATCAGCAGGAGACCTCAAGCCCACACTGCCCATAAGGCCAAAGGAGGTGAGAAATGGGCGCTGATGAGGATGGGGGCAGTTGCTTTTGAGATGGAGACGAGCGAGCACACGCTTCAGGACACGACAGCTGTCCAGCTCAGCCCCACCAACTCCCCTAGCTCATCTCACAAATCCAGCTCCATCCAAGGGGAAGCCGCTGCCCCGCCTTCCTGTCAGGATGAAGCCACTGAGCAGCACACATCTGAGACCTGTGGCTCTGGAGATAAACCCACTCTGAGCTCCGACTGCCGGGAGAGCACTTCCACACAGACGCTGCCTGATCACATCACTACATAGCGTGGACTTTGTTCTGTTTACACTGTCTGGCGTGACTGCAAGGATTAATTGCTACTATAAGTTATAAGCTAAGTCGTCTTTATTTATCCCAAAGTTGGTAAACTCAAATAACACATGACTTAAGTAACTAGAATGGTGGCGTGGTAATATGATACAAGAGCGAAAAGGCCTGCAGACTCAGCCTGTGAGCGTAAATGTATCGTGCAAACTCCCTGATAATTATTCAGTGTGTTTCAGGAAGTTGTACTTTTACTGCCCTGTCCCAGGATGTACATTATCTTTCCAGGATATGAAACAGGGAGGGAGATGATACCGTAATCCAAGTGCCTGTTTTATGTAGTTCTTGTTGTAGAACACATCTAGTGATTGTGTATTCATTGTTTATTCATTTCCTATGGATTGACTTTGGTTAGAGTTTGTGAAGGAGGATCAATGCAGTCACAGCTTTTCTTCACACTTCAACATAACTTTTCTTTCTTCTTCTTATTTCCTGCAGCAGCTGCTTTGAGTGATGGTGCAACCTTGAGCTGTGCTACAATAGATTCAGGAGTGTTTTGTGAATTTCTCTACTTGTGTTGTCGTGCATGATTACTACAGGTGCTAATACATGCTTGGGACCCCTGTATATTTTATAAATATAGATAACTCTTTACTTGAACAGAAGTATATAGTGTATCTGTTCAGACAGCTCACTGAAACTATTAAGGATGCTATCTTGAGCAAATTATAATAATAATACTTCTACTGACCCCCTTTGTGAAGAATACACAGAAACAAAGCCTCAGTAGCATTTATGTCAGGCTGAATGAGAAGATGCACAGGCTGTGATGATAAGTCATTTGTTATCTGAGTAACCCCAGCAGGGACTGTACAAACGGCCCATCGTTTGGCGTCTGACCCAACAGCTGCCGGCAAATGCGAAAGCCCTGTTTACTCATCATTTTACATCAGCTGTCCTCAAACACAGCG